GTCTTTTACTACTACAGGAATCTACCCCTAGTGAAAAACAAAAATGCTTTCTTCTTTATACCCTGGCCACACTTTCTATTCGTACATACTACCGACAATTCAAACTTTCATCTTTAGCTGCTACTGCCGTTTACTTGAGTCGTTACTGCTTTAATATTCCCTCAGGGAGACCAAGTGAAGAGGTAGCTGCCTTATTGCCGATTGTGACAGCTGCACTCTGCCGCAATTCTGCAATGGGTCCTGGTGGGATTTATGACATATTCGGCAGAAGTGTCTTTCACGAAGTGAGTCGCATTAAGCTACCAGAAATGTAGTGAAATATGTCTGTGTCTGTGTGTGTGTGTAGATTACATAAATTCCACCATGGAAAGAGAAGAAGTATAAACGCAAACTCAAACATTTTTTTTTATGTGTTTATGGGTTTACTGTAGATATCTAAAGAAGAATCACGCAAAAGTTGTACTTTTTTTTATGTATATGTTAATGTGCATGTAATCTTATTGTGATTATTATTATTATGTGTGATGATGATCATCAACATCATTTACTCATATACATGTGAAGTACATTTTTTTTTGTGTGTGTGTTGAATCTTTCGATCATTTTTTTTTTTTACCATCCGCCTGCTCACTTTAGACTTGCCCGTACCTTTTTTATTTGTTTTTCTTTTATCTGTTTTGTGGTTGTATCACCTGTTTTCGATGCTGATACGCATAGAGCTCCTTCTTTTCTACATGACCAGGGTCGCGTTATGCTCGTTTCCCACTCTTATTTCTTTTCCTGCCATCTGCTTGGCTTTCTTTCTGTGTCTCTACGAGCGAGAGATATATATATTGATTTTTTTTTTTTTTTTTTTTTGTTTGTTTTTTTCTTTTTTTTTTTTTCATAGAACCACATATAAGCGTACACTTCCATACGTTTACACTACACACATTTGTACACACATACACTCTTTTTCAATACGTACTGGTACTGAGAGAAGTGTCAGCACAAGATAGGAGTAAAAAAAAAAAGAAAGAGGGACTATTGCACGACTAAATCATACATGCAAATATATATATATATAAAGAAATAAATACATAATTTTACTTTCCCTTCTCTTTTTTTTTTAAATTGTTGATGCATTTAATTACAAAAGGAGTAAGTGAATATAAACGTGCATGTTGACTCTTTTATCTGAACAGTTTTTTGTGTGTTTGTGTGTTTTTCTCCGTAATATGTATGTGTATGCTGATTAGATATGCACATTGACGCGCGTGTACAGAATCGTGTTAACTTCTTTTTTTTTTCTTTTTACTTTCTTCTTTCCCTTGACTCTCTCATTTATTTTTCCCCCCATGATTCTGTTATTATTATTATTATTTACACTTCTTGTTTCGGATGAGCATATGCCAAGGTGTGTATGTGTGGTATGCCATTCATCACGTTGCAAGCTAAATAATATAAGTTTATGATTGATTTCAAGCCTCTTCTTGTGTGCGCAGAAGTCAGCAAGAAATGTGTAAACCCGCAAATTCTATAATGGTAGTAACATCACTCTGATGATGATCATCTTCATAATAATCATAATCAACAGCAGTGTTACGAAAGCCATTATTATATGTGATAATTATTATTTTACCCTTTCTTTCTTTCTTTCTTTGCGGTTACAGGAGTGTGTAGATGGTTACATGCCGCATCACCCTCTTTTTATCTGTGTATATATTTCTGTATGCTATAGAATTGTTCTCTTTTTTTTTCTTTGTCTTCCTCATTTTACGTATATATATAAAGAACTGTTTGATTTGTAAATATTAACTAAACGAGAAATACACAGCCTTATAAAAATACAGTTTCACCTCTAGGAAGAATTCACGTCCATCTATCGATTTATTCACGGATCTTTTAAAAAAAAGAAATCAAGTTTATATTTTATTTTTTAAAATATATATTTTCTGCACTTGTGTGAACATCTAATAATGCCTGAAGCTGTTATTATTGATGGCAAGGCAGTGGCTGAAGTCATTCGCGCTGAACTCAAGCAAGAGGTTTCATTACTGAGATCTCAATATGGCGATGTACGTCCTGGTCTCTCTGCTGTAATATGTGGTGAACGGAAAGATTCCCAGACGTATGTACGTTTGAAACGCAAGGCGGCGGAAGAATGTGGATTTGCAACCTTTAACGTGGAGCTTCCTGAAGACACTACACAGGCACAGCTTGAATCCGTATTGAATGTACTCAATAGCAACAGTGAAGTGCATGGTATCATTGTGCAACTACCCCTCCCACCCCAAATTGATGAAGCTGCTGCACTCTCAGTGATTGCTCCAGAGAAGGACGCTGACGCGTTGCTTCCCATTAATGTTGGGCTTCTGCACACTAAAGGCCGCGAGCCACCGCTGTTGCCCTGCACGCCTGCTGCCGTGATTGAGTTGCTCAAACGCAGTGGTGTGACTATTGCCGGAAAGCGGGCGGTGGTGCTTGGCCGCAGCAACATTGTTGGGGCCCCGGTGGCGGCGCTGCTGCTGAAGGAGAACGCCACAGTGACGGTGGTGCACTCGTCGACGCCGCTGGCGGACGTGGAGGATATTGTGAGGGCCTCCGATATTGTGGTGGCCGCGGTGGGAAGACCGAAATTTGTGCGGGGCGAGTGGATTAAGCCGGGGGCCGCGGTGATTGACGTTGGCACAACACCCGTGGACGATCCGAACACAAAGGCGGGATACAGACTGGTGGGGGATGTGTGTTTCGACACCGCACGGGAGCGGGCAGCCTTCATCTCACCCGTCCCTGGAGGAGTGGGGCCAATGACAATCACTATGCTGCTGAAGAACACTCTCTTAAGTTTCAAAAGGAAATTGGAACAGGCAGAAGCAAACAAGAAATGATTATGAACGAGAGGAATAAAAGAGGCAGGAGGAATGAGTGAGTCATGGAGAGGGCATGAGGACACAATGAAAGCAGAAGAAGAAAAAAAAAAAAAAAACGTTATATAGACATATATAGATATATAAAACGAGCGTGAGAGATAGAGGAATGGGGATGGGGAAACAACCAAAAAAAAAAAAATAATAATAATAATAATAATAATAATAATAATAATAATAATAAGGCGGCAGGTAACTGCCGATGTCACTTCTTATCTTTTTCCCTTTAATTTTTTTTTTTTTAAACAAGAGATGTGAAAGCGGTTTAGTATTCTTAATGAAAAGAATATCCTTCATACACAAATGTTAGTTTGTAAAGAATATAACAAGAATATGAATGTAGGTGTGTCTTGCTTAGCTGATATTTGTTTTTGACTAATGGTTGAATTTGATTTTTTTTTTTTTTTACTTTTTAACTGCTTTCTATATTTGGTGTAACATGTCTGATTCAGCAACTTATTCTTCTACAAGGTCCTGTTTTTTTTTTTTTTTTTTTGTTGTTGTTGTTGTTGTTTTCTGGACTAATGCACATAGATATGTATATTTATTTATTTATTTATTTATTTATTTATGTATATGTGTATCAGTATTGTTGCGATCCTCTTTCTCACCATTTCTCTTTTTCTTTCCCTCTTCTTTTTTTTCATTCTTTATCATTTTCAGCGGAAGTCATAGTGACTGTAACTCACGTGTCCTTCCTCAATTCATGTCTGTTTCTCTCCCACTGTCTGCGGTTGGGGCGGGGCGGCCGGATGCCTTTGAACGTTTGGGAGCCCTGCAGGAGGAATTGGCGAAAGTTGAAAGTCGACTGCGCGCCATTCGCCCTGGCGCCGTTCCCAAACACACAGAAGAGGCCGATCCTGCCCTTCCACACATGCTCTCCGTTGAGTTATGTCAACTAGCGGCCGTAGATGATACCGTAGGCGTGCGTATTCTTCTTAACTGTGGTGCAAACGCCGATAGCAGAGATTATAATGAACGCACACCATTACATATCGCTAGTAGTAAAGGGCATGTACAGATGGTGAAATTACTTCTTGATTTTGGTGCAGACGATAAACTCACAGACAAGGATGATAAGACAGCATTGAATTTAGCAGAAGAGGGAGGATATGATGAAGTGGTACAGTTATTACTGGAACATGCTGACCCAAATAGAATGGTTTGTGTTTGTGGTAAACCCGTAAACCCTTCTACCTACAGTCCTCTCGCACCATCACATCCTGATTTTTCTCAGATACCACAACCAATGATGGGGAGTCTTATTGTCATTATGGTTGGTCTCCCAGGTCGTGGTAAGACATATATTGCACGACAAATTAAGCGATATTTTCAATGGAATGGGTTAAAAAGTAATATTTTTACCCACGCTGAATATAGAAAAAAACTTATATCTGATGAATGTATTACTGGTTATGAGATTACTCCTGAACAGGAATGTTGTATTTCTGCTGCTATCGCCCATGACATCACTCAATTTGTTGCAGAAGATGATAGTGTAGCAATATTAGATGGAACTAATTGTACATCCACACGTAGGATGGCTCTAATGAGTTCTATTAATAATACTGGTCTTATTCGTCCAAGTCGTGTAGTATTTGTTGAAGTTATAAATAATGACACAACAAAGGTACTTCAAAATGTTATTCATGTAAAGGAAATGTTCCCTGATGCCAAGGAAGATTTTATCGAAAAGTACTATGAACGTATAGAACGACAAGAACGTATATATAAGACTCTTAATCCAGATACCGACAATGATATCACTTATATTCGTATTGAGGATCAAATTACATATTCACTCAACAATATCTCTGGTTGGATGCCATCAAGACTTGCATACATGTTACATAATTTAAGTCATTCTCCTGGTAATTTATATCTTACACGTGCAGGAGAATATGTTGATTTTGTTTCTGGTCGTATTGGTGGAAATTCTCAATTAACAGAGCGTGGAAAAGCTTATAGTGAAGCATTGTTTGAATACTTTGAAAAGGAATTGAAGATGAATTCTTTTACTGTAATGAGTAGTTGTGCACTTCGTTGCACAGAAACGGTACGCCACTTTGAAGAACAAAGTGTATTTCAGCATGGTAGTGGTAGTGGTGGTCCCAGTAGTAGTAGTATGGAGAATAATAGTGCACCTACTGCTACTGGAGAAGAAGAAGAAGAAGGAAAAGAAAAGGGAGAAAAAGAAGGAGAAAAAACAACAACTGGCTTAAAGCTTAACTGCCGTGTGGCGTATTTCCCCACTTTAGATGACATTAATCATGGTGACTGTGATGGACAGTTGCTATCGGATGTTCGTAAGACTATGCCAGGCACTTTGCGTCGCATGCAGGAAGATCCCTATCACACCGCTTGGCCAAATGGAGAATGTATGCATCAAGTATTTAACGCCCGTTTGGAGCCACACATTCATGACATTCAGGCGAGTACACAGCCTGTACTTGTGGTTTCACACCTTCACTTACTTCAGGGTCTTTACTCTTATTTTGTCTCGGAGAATGATGAGTTTGTAGCCCCGCAGAACGCGTATGAAATTGATATTCCCTTTGAATCGGTTATTAAAATACGATTGGTGGGTGTCAATCGCGTAGCGGAAGTGATTAACCTCTCAAAAGAAGTGGATCGGATTATGCTGCAGCGAACAGGGAAAATCACCTCAGCACCACAAATGGCAGGGATGGAGGTTTTTCGAAAGTTCTTTAAGAGATAAAAAAAAAAAAGAAAAAAATGTCTCTTCTTTGGTGTTCCAATTTTTTTTTTTTTCTTTTTTACTCTCGCATCAATACCGAATAGAGAGAGAGAAAGAAGGAAAGGAAAGAAAGAGAGGAACAAATAAAGAAAAAATCAAAAATACATTACAAACAAAAAAAAAAGGGGTGGGGGAGGGAATTTGATGATACAATGTCCATTTTTTTTTCTTCTTGTTTCCTTCTACGGAGTCTCTTTTTTTTATCTTTTTCTTACAATTTATTGTAATTGAAAGAATCTTGAGATGTTGGAAGTTGTTGATAAGATACTATGTGTACTTTGCAGAGTGTGTTCCCTCTCTTTGCGGGTCAGATATATATATATATATATATATATATATATATGCTTATGGAGTCTTGTTTTCCGTTTTTTTTTTTTTCTACCGAAGGATACTTGTATGTCAGTTCTCTCCCTCTTCAGTTTTCCTTTTTTTTCTTTTGCTGACATCATTATTAATGCTGTTTTTATTTTTTATTATTATTTGTTTCTGTTGTTGTTTTACTGCTTCCATTGATTCGGTGTTTTTTTTTTTTTTTTTTCCTTATTGATTCTCTATCATATGAACCGTTTTTAATAAACAAAAAAGGGGGAACAACAACAAAAAAAAAGAAAAGAAATAAAGGGGCAAGAGTATACATAGAATATCATCAATGTCAGTAAAAACAAAGATAGATGTGTTCCCATTTGAGGGTTACTTATTGCAGGATCCCTCTGTAGTTAGTGTTATGCAGGCGGTGGTGCGTGGAAATAAAGGAGGCAGCAGCAGTGGCGCGAATGATGTTAACAACACCGCAAATAAACGACGTGATGGTGGTGGTAACAACACACAAACAATAGAGCGCCGACTGCGCACACCATTAGAAAAACTTATGAGTCTTAAAGCACGTTGTCGTGAAGAACAATGTGTACACTCCGTTGAAGGAGTTCTTCTTGTTCACATTCACGATCATCCGCATGTTTTATTGCTGCGGTACAACACCACAAAATCATCAACTCAACAACAACAACAACGCGTTTTACCAGCGACGAATACTAATAACGTGACGGTGTTTCGTCTCCCTGGTGGTCGTTGTAGAAAAGGTGAGCCGGAGGATTTGTGTTTACTGCGCAAACTCGGTAGAGATTTATTAAATGAGGCGAAGTGTCCACCCTCCTCCATGCGCACAGCGGAGACGGAGCAGCCAGACACCGTTGTGGAGGTTGGCACTGCACACAGTGGAGCCACCGCCGTTGTGTCCTCATCGTCCTTTCGCGTTGGTGAGACCCTCGCACGGTGGTATAGACCGCACTTTGATCCCTTCATGTATCCTTACATCCCCGCCCATGTAGCCGAGAGTGATGTGAAGGAAGTGCGAACTATTTTTCTTGTGCATATGCCTCCACAGATGATCCTTACAGTTCCACACCGGGATGTGCAACTCGTTGCCGCGCCATTGTTTGATCTGTACGATAACACGGCGAAGTATGGTCCACTCATTGCATCCATTCCAACATTGCTCTCACGGGTAAACATTAACTACTGCAAGTAGAAGGAAAGAAAGAAAGAGGAATGAGGGAGAAAAGATACTCACAGAAACATGGGAGAGAGATCGCATGACCCACAATTTATGGAATTTTATAGTAATTCTCTTTATTATTATATATATATATATATATGCATAAATTATTTTTCTTGTTTCCCACCAAGTTGTTTTTGTTGGTTTTCTTTTCCTATATTTTGATATTCTTCTATCCTTTTCTTTTTTACTCCTATTCCTTGAAATGTGTAAGGTAGTTTATATAGATCCACATATACAAATATAGGGAGAGGAAAAGGGAGACAAAATCGTTGTTTTTTTTTTTGTTGTTGTTGATTGTTTCAGTATTCGTGTATATCATTATAGAAAGATCAAAGAAAAAAAGAGAAAAAAACATATAGGAGTGAATTTGTGTTAAACACACGGAAAGTAAAAGAGGTTAACGAAAAAAGAGAATAAACCAAAAAAAATAGAAGAATCATTACAATGGGACAGAAACCATCGTTGAATGAAACTTTGCATCAATGTGTGTATGGACGTGATAAGGAGGGTGTTGCACAAATTTTCCGAGATCATGCATCCGATATAAACTCCTCTGTTCTTGATGACAAGATTTACTATCAACTTATCCTTCAGCAATGGGACTCGGATACTTTGTGTAGATTTGCTAAACTTGCTAATGATGATCAATTGGCTATACTTATCGCAGGAGCCGTTTTACACAGTCATGTGGTGCCGTTAGCACCTCTTTTTGAGTTAATGCGAGATCGTGAACGCACGATAGAGCAACATCAATTAAAACATTTGTTTCTTGCGGTGTGTGAACGGGAGAATATGGATGCCGTTCGTGTTTTTATCGATAATAAATGTTATGATCCCTCTGATGCTCGTCCTATTCGTGCGGTTGTACGTGCACAGCTGAATAAATCTAGGGTGAATGAAGAGTTGCTAGAGATGATATTGTCGGCTCACCCTCAACAAATAGATAATGTTCAGAGTATCCGTACAAAATACCTTTCTGATGCTAAAAATGATGAGGTTCGTAAAGTTATTGATAATCATTTGTTTAAGTACGTACCATAATGGATGTGTGAACTTGTTTAAGAGATAAATTTATTATTGTAAGGTTTTTGTTTTGTTGTTGTGCGCTATTTCTTTTTTTTCGTTTTTTTTTTTTTTTTTGTTGTTGTTCACATTCTTTCTGTTTTTCTTTTATTTTTATTTTTTGTTCTTTTTATTCTTTGTGGGGGGTTTTCTTTTTCCTTTTGATGATGATGATGTACTCATATGTCTGATGAATCTCTATCAGATGCGTGTTACCTCCTTTTTTCTTGTTCTCTTTTTTTTTCTCTACACTTTGATGTAATTTTTTTTTTCGTTTTTTCTTAATGGTATTCGTAATCATGATTGCTTAAGAGCCTAATTGGAGAAAGAAAGAAAGAAAGAGAGAGATACAGTGTAAGATGAGACGCTCTTCTCTTCTGAGTACTCTGCGCATCAGGCGTTTTCTTTTAGCTCCTGCACAATCAACGCCAACATCATCTAAACTGTCATCATCGTCATTATCATCATCATCATTATTAGCCTCAACAACAGCAGCATCAACATCAACAAATAATTCACCTTTCGCACTACCAGTAGAGCGACAAATTAAAGGAGGACTCAGTGCAGACTGGCGAGAACAGGTGCGACGATCGGGTTCCATTCTTAATGATATTTCCCCCGCACTGCCTGATAATAGTCGTACAGAAGAGCAACGTCGACGTGTTGCTGGTTGGCAGCCAGTAGTGAAGTTGCTTGGTGATCAAAAACTTCGTGTGGCTATTGTTGGACGTATGAATAGTGGTAAATCTTCCTTATTTAATTTATTAAGTGAAGATCCAACGATGCCTGGACGGAAAAATGTGGTACGTGATTTTAATGGTATTACCCGTGACTCTGTTGAAGGACATGCACAGTTGGAGGGAATGCATTTTACAATTATTGATACTCCTGGTATGGTGAATGGGCGATTGGTAGAAGAAGCATTTCGTACAGTAGAAACAGCAGATGCTGCTATTTTTGTAACTGCCGTTGATGAAGATATTTTACCAGCAGAACGGGATCTTATTGAATATTTACACCTAAAACGTATGCCCGTATTGTTATTAGTAAATAAAATGGATCTTGTTCCACTAGACGAGGAAGACGCTGTATTGCAGCGATATAATGAACTTGGACTTGGAAATGCCATTCCATTCTCTGCACGACGTAAGTTAGGACTTGAAATGCTTGCAGCTGTCTTGGAACCACTCTATCACATTCACACAATGCACAAAATTGAGAATGACTGGGATATTGAGGATTTAGCCATGCACGGTGATGAGGCGGCGATGGAAGAAGTACGTGATCGTAACTGTACAGATCGATTTATTCGTGTAGCGATTGTTGGAAGGACAAATTGTGGTAAGTCAAGTTTAATTAATCGACTTGTGGGATTTGAACGTAATCGAGCTGTAGATGAAACCAATACTACTCGTGATCCGGTGGAATTACCGTGTATGTATAAGGGACGCAAACTAAAACTTATCGATACTGCAGGTTTGGCTCGACATCGTTATCGAGCTGAACGTGATTTTATTGGTCGCATTCATGAACTCTCTGTAAATGAAATTCGTTATGCACATGTTGTGATTGTTGTCTTTGATGCCACTGAGGGACATCCAAATAAATATGATATGGCTGTATTGCATTCCGTTGCGGCGGAGGGTCGTCCATTTCTTTTGTGTGCGAACAAGTGGGATGCGGTGTTGGACCAGAGTGCCACAGCAGAGGCAATTGATTTTAAAATAAAGCGACAAGTTCGAGAAATTAAATACAGCAATGCCGTTGTGGTTTCCGCTCATACAGGATTGAATCTCACTTTATTAATGGATCAGGCTTTATCATTATATGATACTTGGAATAAACGAGTGCGTCGCGCTGAACTCACACGTCTTTGGAGAAAAATGGAAAAGTCTGTTATCATTCCATATCACGTTGCCCGTGTGGGTCGCATCACACAAGTAAACACACGTCCACCAACTTTTCTCTTGCATTTACAGACTAAGAATGATGCAAATACACTTCCTAAAGCACTACAGGAAATGGTAAAAAATACATTGGTGGAAGAGTTTGACTTTCGTGGTGTTCCTATTCGTCTTATCCAAGAAGTTAAGGACTCTAATCCCGACTATATTTAGTGATACTCACACATATATACATACATACATACGTACATACACATATATACGTGTATCTATGTAAAGAAATGGCGGATAAATAGAAGAAAAGAAAAATAAAGCGATAGAGATAGATAGGGAAAGAGGATTGAAAACATTTGGGTACAGAAAGAAAGAAAAAATTGGTGTATATCAGTCTATATCTCTTTATTTTTTTTTTCTTCTTTCGTTGTTTTATTAATATTATTTTTATTATTCATATTGAACGTGTTTCTATCACAGAGAAGAGGTCAGCTTCTCAGTCAGCGAAGGTGTTGTGTGCAGGCTAATAAAGTATTCGTCATATTTCAAATATGTTTACATTATGTTTAATAATAATAATAATAATAATAATATCATCTGTTTTTTTTTTTTCTTTTTGTGAAGCTCTAGGAAAGATTGAATAGCGCATAGGTATATGGTGAAGAGGCAACGATCGGGTTCCCCGTGGGGCGCGGAGGACGCGAAATCCAACGGCAGCAGGAGCAATAGTAGGAGTAACGGCCATCACAACAACAACAATGGTAATAATAATAATAACAACAACAATAATGACGTGTATGATACTTCTAGTCGGGAAGGATCTGTACATGTTTCTGCAACAAAAGAATCACTGGGAGTATTTGTATGGAATGAGGTTGGTATAATGCCCTACACTTGCTTGTTGAAATACCTGCACTACACCTGCGGTTGCCTCGCCATTGAGCGCGTGAAACACTCTAAACAGTGTTTAATAGATAAACTACACACACGCATAATGACTTTTTGGAATAGAGAAATCGATTCTTTTAGTACAACAAAACAGCAAGAGCTTAATGATATCTTTCATCCACATATGAATGCCATGATGGAACGTTTATCATCCTTAGCTTCTAGTGATATGACAGCAGGGGAACTTTGTCGTGCATTTTTACAAATGCTTGAAGTTTTTGGATTTCCTGAAGAAGAAAATGTGGAGGAGGCGCAGTTAGTCGCCAATGTACGCAAAGCTGCTGAGCTGCATGCCTATTCATATCACAAGCGTACATCACATCACTTGAGTGTTCTGCCGCGATATGAGGGTGATAGACGCACGGAGGAGCAACACCGTCTGCCCCGGGCTGGTCGTGTGGTGCACTTTCCCTGTCCACATCCACATCCGGATGTAAATACTAGTATTCAACTGATTGAGCCAAAGAAGCGACGACCACCACTAGACGAAAACCGCATTTTTTCACATCCAAAGAAGGCAACATCATCAGGAATGGAAGATTTTCTCGTGGATGAGGAATTACAGTATCGTGCTCTTGTGGTTCTCGGACGACATCTTGACTCATTTGGTTCACTTCAACACCTCTCACCGTTTCTTCGTTTTGTGTTATGGAATATTCTAGATAGAGATGAGGAATTATTCGATACGCTTGGTGTAGCTGATTCCTTAGGTAGTGATAAGGGAACACAACTAAAACATCAACAACAACAAGAAAAAATAGAAACTTTACGACGTCGTGTAGCGGAGAAGCGTACAGCCTTTGATGCTACTCGTACAGTTGCCCGTGAATCTGCTGTTCGTATTGGATGGTGGGCAGTGAGTGCACATTGGCGTGATCAAGTGTTGCGAGTTGTGGAAGATGGTGAAGATGCCGATTGGTATCTCTTACGTGATTCAGCAAAAACTGGTTCACAAGCTATTTTTCCAAACTATGCGGTTACTTCTATTATTAAAGATACTGTCTTAAAGGCACTTCGTCGTGTGCGGGATGGTTATGTAGACTGTGGTGTGGAAGATACATCTGAGTGTTATGATGTTATTACACAAGTATTATTTCCACTACTAGAGGGTACCGCACCTTCTATACCTGATTACTTTCTTAGTGACGATACATCAGATGAAAGTGATTCTAGTCAGCAAAAAGAAAAACGAAAAGAACAACGACGACGACGACAAGAAGAATATCAAGAACTTAGAAGCCGTGTTAAAAGTCTTATGGAACTAAAAGGAGAATCATCTCAACAACAGTCTGTAGAGGAAATAGCACGAAGTACACGTTGGAATCTTGACTGTGTTCCTTTATTACCACAGGATGAATCAACATGTGCATTTCTTTCAGATATGTTTGTTTGGCCTTTACAATGTCTAGCATCACTTTTAGAACAAATGGCTATGGCGCGTTACTCAGGGGATGGTCTTAAAAAGTTTGTTGCTGCCTTTATTCAATCCAATTGGAGTGATGAGGAATCTGTTCTTGAGTTTCTTATACGACGTGAACCAACAAACATCTCACTCGCTTCATTCGTTGGGTTTCCACGTCTTGTGCGGGATGTCTACACATCAGCACATTGGCTACGTAATGATAAATACTTTAGTGTTGTGGTAGAATGTCGTAGTCAAGGTTGTGCGATGCCTACTGGGACTGTAGCATCTAACTATCTACAGTGGCGAACTCTCTCTTCTATACTTGGCACACTTGATTACAATGATGATGTCCTTGCGCTTACAGTTCGCGGGGCAACACCAAACGCAGTGGCGGAAGGTAAATTATGGAGTGTGGCTGAACTACAGTCTATGCCCAGAACACCTGTGGAAGGTGTTGTTCTTATGCTAGCACCTGAGAAAGATCCTCTTTCTTCTTATTCTTCAAATGTCGTAGATGCTGAGGCTTCTCATGATGATGATGATGATGATGATGATACTGTAGCTGCAGCCTCCGAAAAGGAGAAGGTGGAGGTGAAAGAAAAGTAACGTTGAAAGGCATTTTTTTTCTTTAAAGTTGTGTGTATGTTTTTTTTTTTTTTTTATTTTCTCCTGTCATTTTTTACTTTTAAATGCACCACGTCTCTGCTTCTATACTCAGTTACAATGTTGTTTATCCCTTTTCTTTATGTGTGTGTTTTGAATTATTTAATTCTTTTATCTTTTCTTTTTGGCAATGTCCCATTCCTTTTTTTTTCTTTTCTTTTCTCTTTATTAGTTTTTCCTGTTTTTTTTTTCTTTGTTGTTTTTTTTTTTTTTCTTCTTTTCAGGGTGATGGGGAAGGAAGACACCCATATGGTCTCTTTGGCCTCCCTGGAAGAAGTTGCTACAAAAGCAGAGACACTTCGGTCATTTCTACGCGGTGCCTTTCTCGATGATGCACCTCGTCTTGAAGTAACGATCTTTAATCACCTCAGAGAAGTTTTAAATAGCTGGTTAGAACCTTTGTTGTCATCATCAACATCATCTGAGGATTCATCACAATCACAGGGGAGTCTTCGTAATCTTATTGAGCAGTATTATCTACAGGAACTCTTTGCTGCACTGTTGTTTCTAGCAGATGAGTCCCTTCTCCAGAGTAGTCCTGTTTCTATTGCAGAAATACCAAAAATGAAGAATTCATCTGTGCAGGATTCTTCTTATTATGTGGATATCCGTACAAAACAATATTGTGGAGAAATGCTGCTTTATCTTTGTTTTTCTCGTATTTGCCGAACACATCATGTTGTGCAAGCGCTTTATCCACTTCTTCTAGCTCAGAATGAAGATAATGATGGTGTTTCACAGAATCATATTAGTGAAGGTCTCTTTACATCACCTCGTTTTATGAAGAAAAAGAAATTTATTTCTAATCTTCTTAATGGAGTTGTTATTGGATTATCTGATGGTGTTAGTGCAGTAGTTCGTGTCTTGTTACTGGATGATCGTGTAAAAGATGATATGACGGCTGATGCTGCTAAACATATTGCACATCTCTTTGTTACCCCTTTGCGCAGTATATGGATTTTAGAAGAATCTTTAGTTGTAAAATATTGTGAAAATTTTCCAATAATGGATCAAGTTCGTCTATTTTCTACACAATTAATGAATCTTACTCTCTTTCATGCAGAAACTCCTGTAATTCAAGAGAATAAAGATGATTTAAAACAACAGATGCCTCTCTTTTTACAGAAACAGCAGCATTTGAGGGATACATCTCTTTTAAAACTAGAAACATTGGAGGAACGACTTCATATATGTGTAGTAACTATTCTTAACACGATTGTGTATCTATATCCTCTTAGTGAAGGAAAAAGTCGATTTGACCGTAGTTATAAATATTTTTCTTTATATAACAGATATTTTTTAACGCCGTCATTTCGAGCACTTTCATTACAATCGGTTACTTTGGGTGAAAATGATGAAGTATTACTTGCACTTCGTCGTTTTGCTGCTCTTACAAATGGTTCAACCCTTGGACCATCACCAAGAGGTTTATTACTCACATTAGATCCTATATCGCCTGGTTTATTACAATTACTTGAATTTGGTGAAACTATCCCTACTCCACATCGTGATGTTTTAAATCGTATTCTAGATTCACTATGGAAGATGGAAGTTCAATTTGAGGAAATAGCGTATATATTCATTCGAGGGGCTTTTGTAAATGTTCGTGGATCTTTTACAATAGATCGAGTTGGGTTAACCATGTCTGTAGATTTTAACCATGTCTCTTCATGTGCGAGTCGTCTGCGTGGATTACAACGTCTTATCTTGTGTGAAACAACACCAACAGATTTTATATGTAAAGTACTAGAGGCAGGAGCTAGAGAATGTCAGCAACGTGCAGCATCTTCATTATCTGTTGGTATACAAAAAAAAGAAAAGGTAAATACGTTTCTATTTACGGCAGAAGAGCTAGAGTCTGAAGATGTAAACAAGGATGAAGATCTCATATTGGTGCGGATGATTGAAGAAATGTGTGTTGGAATGAATGCAGATACTTTATTTGGTACCCGAGTCACACTTGACCGTGTGTGTGATGTGCTTTCTACAGTGGCAACTATTAGTCCTGTTTGTTGGAAGTGGGTAATGTTATTATTACCTCGAATTCTTGCTGTAGATATTATTCATTCAATCTTTTCTCAGTATTCAACAACTGCAGAATCTTGTAAACCGGCACGGGCATTACTTATGCGGTTAAAACGACTTGAAAGTATTATTACTGCTCTCTGTGATGATGATAGTTTTGTATCAGCGTCTACTACGATTCTTAGAGATGCGGCTATAGCTGTTCAACAATACGATACTGTGATGAGTGAAGAAGAAGTGAAAGAAGTAAAGGATGCGACGGAGGCTCAGTGTTCTAAAATAGCACGTTCTATTGAAGAAAGCCTTAATGCTAAATCTATTTCAACACTTGTGGTTCATCTTCTAGCTTTAGCACAAATGGCAGAGGAGAATGCCTGGAGTATCAGTAAGCCACAAACTAAGACTTCAAACAAAAACAAGAATCATAAGAGTCAGAATAAAGAAAAAAGTAATAATAGCGAAAATTCTATACAAAGAGTAATGTGGCTGCTTACTCGTGTATTAGCTGAAGTGGATGACGCATGTGCGGCGGTGAATGCTTGTAAGACTATGGTATGGTGGTCTCTTGCACGTATGGAATCATTAGATTCTTCTTGTATTGGACAACTTGTGATAAACTTACTTGATATTGATGAAAATAATCCATTATCATTTCGATCTGTGATTCCTGCTGAAACTGCAGTAGCCACAACAGCCGCCGCACTGTTACCACCACAAATAAGTCGTCTAAAAGTACGTTTATTGGATGTTTTACTTGGACTTTGTGATTACGATGCAGAAGGACGTACATTACGAAATATTGATGATTATTGTAAAAAGACGAGAAAATGTGGTTTATATGATATTCTTACGGGATTGTGTAAACCGCCCTTTAGTGATGTTGTACAGGTGGCAACTATGCATTTTCTTGGTCATTATGTTGTTTCCACATATCCCCGTGTTTCGCTTTCTTCTATCTGTACACTTTGTGTAGATGTATTTCGTCATACCCCTTATGAGATGGCAAAGGCTGCCTGTGCCTCTATGTTGTGGAATGTTGTCACTTCATTAGAGTCAATGGGCGTTATCGCAACTTTGAGTGATGGGGAAGTGACATTGTTGCAGAATTTGGCAGAAGCATTTCGGAGTTATCGCTGTGCCGCATTAAGTGAAGGGATTCATGAAGAAGTTATTCACCGACATGGTGATTGGATCCGAGAGGTGCTGCAGCGGGAATCGCTTGTGGTGCGTGAGATATGATGACAATATTTACATTCAGTTTTAGTGTGGGATTCTTGATAATATTATGGTGTTTTCGCTCTCTCTCTCTCTCTCTCTCTCTTTACATATGATAGTTGTTGTTGAGTATGATGATGATGATGTTTTTTTTTTGGGGGGGGGGGTTGGGTGGGGGAGAGAATAAAGTGCAACTGTCTATATCTCTATGAGTGAAAGAGGAAACTCTTTGTGTATTTCGCGTTTAAAAGGAATGAATAATAAAAAAAAAAGAAAGAAGGGATAAACTCCCTTTCCTTTCATTTGAAACCAGTGAAGAAGTAAGTAATATATATATATATGTATATATATATATATATATATATATATACCAGGGAGAAATACTGAGTTCCAATGTGAATAGTGTATGTCTGTGTCTGTAAAGCAATTCAATTTTCCCTTTTGTTTAAATCTCATTTTGTTGCTCTTTTTCTTCTATCAGAGTGTTGAGGCTATAGGAGTAGGGAAAAAAAGGAATAATAATCAAAGACAAAAATAACCTTTCTATATTTATTTATATATACACACGCATTTAAAAAAAAAAAGAGGTGTGGGAAGAAAAAAACAAGGCAGAAGTTTTTCTCTTCACTTCTTCTTGATTTTTCTAAAGGTTTCTGTGCTTCTTTATTTTTCTGCGTTTATTAGTATCTTTATTCTCTTCAGCTGACTGTGTGTTGGTGTGTTTAATAGCGCATGAGCAATCAGTCTCCGGTGAAGCCGCATCCACTGAAGGACCGTTGGTTCGTCACTTACTTTCGACAAGTTCGACGTAAGCAGAAAGGTAAAGAATTTGATGAACAACAGAAACCAACGGATCTAGATTGGGTTTCTACAGGTGAAGAGCTGTACGCCACTATTAATTGTTTTCCCCCTTTTGAGTTATGGCCATCCGATGAAAATTTGGTCTTTGCACGTAATAAGGTGGATCCATATTATGAGAACTTCCCAGATGGAACTCGCGTTTGTGTGTTTACACGAACTAAACAACAGGGCGATCAGGCGATTTCATTGGTACTCGCAGCTGTGATGGGAGAACACTTGCGAACCGTCACAGAAGGGGAATGTATCGCGGATGTTGTTCGCATTGCCCATAAACCGGGAAGTGTTTATCCAGAGTCTCTTCGAGTGGAAGTGTGGCTGCGCAAAAGTGATTACAGTGAGAATGTGCTTCAATACCTCACTGATTTATTTAAGCAAAATCCAGGCATTAAAGTTACCAATCGTCCTATCATCAATGAGGCAACCGGAGACTAAATGTGAAAAACTACTGGAGTGTGTGTGTGTGTGTGTGTTTCTTTATTTTATTTTATTTGGGGGAATTGCACACAGTGTACAGATTTGCGAAAACTTACTTTTGTGTAAAGGAGAAGAGAGAAGGATATTATGTGGTGACACCAGCTGTGAGTGAGATGTGGGAGGAGGTTTTTCTTCTTTTTCTTATTGGATCGACTGCTGGTTCTATACATGCGTACACCTCAGTCGAACGAAAAAAAAAAACAAATAAGAATGGATGAGGAAAAACGTGAGAAGAGGATAAAAAACAAAAAAGAGGATGGACTAGAAAAAAAAAAAAAAAAAGGCAGGTATTGTGTATCTCATGGAGTCATCCAAGATGACTTTTTCTCTATTGAGAAGGAAACTGATAGTACAATTCGCTACAGATAACATGAGATTTCACCTTGTGTTGAAAGAACAAAAGAAGAAAAAAAAAAAAAAAGGGTTTCTGATAATTTTAAGAAATATTCTTTTTTTTTCCCCCTTATTGTTGTTTTTTATTTTTATTTATATTCTTTCTATTTACTCTCTCTCCCTCTCTTTCTTTCTTTCTTTCTTTCTCTATTTTTGTTCTTATTATTTGTATAGAATGTAGGGTGGCAATCCCCTCTCTAAATGGTAGGCTTAGAAAATGAAGGGATTATGAATGCAGATCTTTGCTTGCCGTTAAATGAACGTTCATTTCGTCTTCTCATTCAACAGTACAATGAAGAGGCGGCTGCAGCCCGTGCCGTCGCCTTAAGAAATAGTGAAGATTCATCCAGCAGCCGTGCAGATTTGGCACTCGCAGCCCAATACATGGAAGATCTCACCCGAGATGCCACTCGTCTCTACAAAAAACTACAGGAAGGAGGAGGGAAAGATGATAGTTTATTATGGACAAAAGATGATGTGAATACACTACGCATGTTGGGATTTGATGTACGCCATCTTGACACTTTAATGAGAAGAGATGTTCATACATACACGTCTAACATACACTCCACACAGAAACTTCACACACCTAATCTTGATGCTCTTCTATCAGTAGAACAAAAGATTCAGGAATTGCAGCAAAAAGTAGAGTCTTTAACTCTAGAAAATCTTTCACTGAGACGCGCAGTTTCTAAGAAACCTCATAAAATTTCAACTATACAAAATTCTATTTATAATACCTCTGGTTCATTGGAAGCTCTTACAGTCGCCTTCAATGGATTAAAAGATGCCTACTACAAGAGACGTGATGAAGATTCTCTTGTACAGAGAATGCGGGAGAAATTTGCCTTGGCACTTCATGATATTCGTGTAGAGGATCGAAGACTTCGTGTTGCTGGAGTTAATCAATCGGAGTGTCCATACACAGTTATTGAAGATACTTTTCGTATCCTTCAAAGTATAGATGCGTGTCGACGAGTACGTTATTGTGTTGGGAATAATTCTAATATCGTAGAAGAACCTGTGGATACCGCTGTGATACAACTTCTTAATGATCTTGATTTTTCTTTTCCTGTACATATACGGCGACTTGGTCCTGGTGGTGATTATTTTATTGATCAGCATGTTGAAATTAAGTTAATTGACGGTCAGCTTCTTGTGAAACCAAAGTTATCGACAATTCATCATTCAACTTCTTCAGATGTAGTGAATAAACCTCGATATGAACATCTGGCAAAGTATCTTATTCATCTCTATTCCCCTGCTATGGATTTAGAAAAAGCAGCAGGAAAAGATGATGATGATGATAATGTGATGGAACAACAACAAGAAGAAAAAAAACGAAAACAAGAACCTGGTGTGAACAATAGTTATGATTATACTCGTGATAGTGATATACCCTTTGGAGAACGCATTGCTTCTCTCAAGCAAAAGCAACAGGATTTGCAACGCACTTTGAAGTCTCATTATGAACAGCTACGACAGCACCAGCAACAATTGGAATCGAATCTTTCTTCATCTCCAGAGGTGTCTCAATTGGATCACGTTGATGTAGTTAATCAGGTAAAAAGAATGCACACTGAAGAGAAGCCCACGATGGTATTAGGCTCTCCATTCAGTGGAGAGGATAGAGTTGCCCATACACTTCAAATGTTGGAGAGTAATGGAAAAATCCCTGATCTTTCTACACTTTCAGAGTCTGAATTGCGCAGACTCAAACGGGCCGCACTACGGCGACAAATGCGTACATTACAAGGTCTTAGTGGTGTTGTTTCACCTCGTTTACAAACTCATTCCTTGTAAGGAATTTCTTTTTTTTTTCTTTTTTGTTTGTTTGGTTGGTTGGTTGGTTGCTTTTTATCTTTGTAATTTATTTATTTGATTCTAATCACCCACTTCACTCTTTTATTTTTATGATTATATATATATATATATATATATATATATATATATATATACTTCATCACTTTTTTTTTTGTCACTTCTCCTTCTTTTTTTTTCCGTGTATTCTTCCATATAGAGTATCCCATTATTATTATTATTATTATTATTATTATTATTATTATTATTATTATTATTGATAAAATAGGATTAGTTATTTATAGTGAAGGGATATTGTTTATTACATGTCTTTTCCTAACGCCATAGTAACATGGCAGTGCCCATTAGGGCCTTCACCCGTGGTAGAAGTACTTCAAAGCTGTCAAAACCTTCTTGACTACCTCTGTGATATTTCTTCTACAGAATTAATGCGACGTCCACCAAGTCCTAATCGTAAACTATTTATTTTATTTCCTGGTAACCCTGGCGTAGTTCATTTTTATGAACGTTTTGTACAGTTAATGTCTATGCGTCGAGTTGATGTTCTCGTAATGGGTTATGCTGGACATAGCTTTATTGATCAGAATAATGGTAGAGTATTTGATTTACAAGATCAAGTGGATGCTGCAGAACAGTTTTTAATGACTGTATTGACTGCTCATACCATCAAGTGGTACGGTAATCATATTTATATTGGGGGTCATAGTATTGGTGCTTTTGTTGCGATGCAAATGGTTGCACGCTTTCCATGTATTAAACGTTGTTTTTCTCTCTGTGGTGCCCTTTCAAATCTAGGAAAGTCTCCAAATGGTGAACGGATGTTCTTTCTTGGTGGCAATATAATAATTTACAAGATAGTGACATACTTTGTGATGCTTTTACTGTTGATGCCCAAAGTATTGTTTTCACTCTTTATTAGTTGGAATGCTCCGGATATGGAACCATCTTTGCAACAGTTGGTAGTGAAACACTTTAATCGCAACGCACTTATGAACTCACTTGCCATGTGCCGTCAGGAGTTTCATCAAGTGCGGAATCTTGATAAGCCTCTTTTGAAATCTATTCAGAAACGTATGGTGTTTTACTACGTTGCAAATGATAAGTGGGTCCCATTAGACTACGCCTATGAAGTAAAGGAGACGTGTGAAGGAAATGCTGGTTTCGTAGTGGAACAAGATTCTACAGTTCCTCATGCCTGGTGTCTTGCACATAATGAGGCAGTCATAGAAAATGGTATTATGCCTTTTATTTGAAAAAAAAAGAAAAGAAAAAAAACGCTGATTGTGAGGTGTTCGGAAATAGTTGTTGCATGGGAATCAGTATATATATATATATATTTAGTTATTTATTCTTTTTTTTACAATTTTTTTTTTTTTTACAATTATCTGCGTGTTGGAATGTCGACACTTGTTAACACGGATGAGCGTCTGTCCGTGTTTGTTGCAGCGAAAAAAAAAGAAGGAAAAAAAAAAGATGAAAGCCCAAAATGATGAAGAGAAAAATTAAAAAAAAAAAAAGATAATTGAAAAGGTCACAACTAAATAGAAAAACAAAAAAAAATGACAACATCAAAAAATTAATTAATTAATTAATTAAAAATATATATATGTATATATATATATATATATATTAAAATTTTTTTTCGATCTTATCATTTTTTTTCCTCTCTCCGTGACTGTCACCGTGTTTCAGTTGACAGTTAGCTGGGTTTAGTCTCTCTTTTCAAAAGATGCAGGACAATACCAACTCTCCGCATGTCATTGGGGAGCCCACCCTTGAGGGACTTGCGAACTACATTAAGCGCAACAACGTGACGAAGATTCTCGTCATGGCTGGTGCGGGAATAAGCGTGGCTGCCGGTATTCCTGACTTCCGCTCTCCACAGAGTGGAATCTATGCAAATCTTGGTAAGTACAATCTCAGTTCACCAACAGATGCTTTTTCGCTACCGCTTCTACGTGAGCGACCTGAAGTGTTTTACAGTATAGTACGGGAATTGGATCTCTGGCCTGGACACTTTTGGCCAACTGCAGTTCATTACTTTATTAAATTACTCGCTGATGAGGGACGACTGCTGCTCTGCTGTACGCAGAATATTGATGGTCTGGAACGAGTTTGCGGTATTCCAGAATCACTACTGGTAGAGGCACATGGATCCTTCTCATCCGCCTCTTGTATTGATTGTCACACCGAATATGATCTTGCTGCAGCAACTCGAGAAGCGAGAGGAGGTAATGTGCCACACTGCGCGAAATGTGGTGGTGTTGTTAAACCAGATGTTGTTTTTTTTGGAGAGGGACTTCCAGATACATTTTTACACGCCTTGCGTAGTGTGGAAGAGGCGGAATTGCTTCTTATCATGGGAACATCTCTTCAAGTACACCCGTTTGCACAACTGGCATTAGGTGTTCGCCATAATGTGCCGCGTGTACTGTTTAATCTTGAGCGGGTTGGCGGGTCCATGTTTCGTTTTCCCAGCGATGTGCCGAATCCCGCCGATGGAAGTGTAGACGGCACTGCACAGAGTATGAGTTGTCGCTCCAACAGCAACAGTAGCAGCAGAAGTAGCTCCAGTGACGGCTACTCGCAGTATGCACACCGCATCACACACTCCGAGGGAATTTGCCGCGATGTTTTTTTCCCTGGTGACTGTCAGATAACAGTGAGAGGCCTCGCTAAGGCGATGGGCCTCGGGGAGCGTCTGGAATCCATTATTCGTGAGGGTGAACAGAAGCGCAGAAGTTTAACTGAAGAGTAAAGGAGCGAGAGAGAAAGAGAAAGAGAAAGAGAGAGAAAAGGAAAAAGAACAAGAAAAATGCGTACTAACACACAAAGAAGGTGGGGAAAGAAAAGATATATACAGACACCCTCACGTATACGAATAAAGAATGAAAAATGGGAAAAGAAGGAAAGGAAGAAAGATGAGATGTGGGAAATGAAGAAAAAAAAAAAAAAGATGCTTTAACAGGGAGAAACAAAGTAGTCATTTACGATTAATTCCCTGTGATTATGTGGTGAGTTTATGAGAGTCGATTATTGTTTTTTTTTTCTCTTGTTTTGTTTCGTGTTTTCATTTTTGTTTTTTTATCCCTCTTTAGTCCCTACAGGATGGAATGCTCTTAAAACTGATTCTATATTTCTGGTGTTTTTCCTTCCTTTTTTTTTCTGGTTTTTCCCGTTGAAGCGTTTTTTTTTTTTTTAGGCCATTGTAAATAATAATAATAATAATAATAATAATAATAATAATAATATAAAGAAGAGGTGGCCCGGTAACAATTCCTCCTTGAGAGGAATAGGGTATTTACAGACAGACGCCTAAAAGGAGAGAAACAAAATAAAAGGGGAATTTCATTTCAACAAAAAAAAAAACAGAAGGAAAAAGAGTTTGATAATAGAAAGAATATATATATATATATATATATATATATATATAGGATATTGAAACCAATAGGATGAAGCAGTTTGCTTCCTATTCACGTTTCTTGCGAAGACGAACCCGTCGTAGATTGCTTCGACCTTTCGTACTTTTAGTTTTGTTTCTTTTTTTGTATGCATTTTCAAAACTTTTTTTTCGGGGTTCTTCTACACCGAATGAAGTTATGGTCATTGAAAATGAAACTGAAATGGAAACGGAAACTGAAAATAGTGCCATGTTAAATGTTAGTGGGTTTAGTAATATTCTGTTGTATGAAGAGAAGAGTGAGTTATGGGGATTTACAGGTGGAATAGAAAGTCTTTTGGAGAAGGGAGTACCACGAAAGTATTGGGGCCCTATAATGCGACGTAGTCATGAGGGATCTTTAGACGAGTGGAGTGTTAATAACATGACGGGAATGCGACTCACAGAGTCCACAGTGGCGGAAGAAGAGATGCGGCTTCGCTATATACAGCACAGAAAGGTAAGAGATGCCACTGGTTGTGATACGCTTTCTGTTCCATTTAATCCCCGAAGAGATAGTCGTTGTATACAGTTTATGACAACTCCCTCTAACTGGAAAGAATTAATTCCTATTTCACAATCAGTAGATCAGCGGACTATTAAATTTGCTATCCAGTTTAAATCAGTTCATGTAGCTGATGGTGAAATAATTGATGATCCTATAGAAACTATTATTAAAGTTCCTCAACGTCCATTCCCATCTGAAGCGGCTGGTGAGGTGGGAGCATTTCATGCAGATCGTATATTGCTTATAAATCGTGTACCACCAACTGGATGGGCATGTTTGCCTCTGCAGATGATTAAAAACTCTGTGTCAAAATATAAAGATAGTGTTAATACAACGGCAATGTTTCTTCGCATGTCAGGTGTAAAAAATTATGAAGATTGGGTACAGAAAGATCTTTTTGATTTTGCTCGTACTTCTCGTTCTATAGAGTGGTCTAAAGATGGTAATTGTATTGGTGTTTCTATTCAATTAAAAATATCTGATGTTGGTCACTTTTTAGCTAGTGCTATGCGAATACCATATGATGCCCATACGGATACTTGGCACGATTATTTTAATTTGAATATTGCTACCAAAGAAAGTATGGAAGAATTAACTCGAGCAAGAAGTTACATTGGTGTACTTCACTTGGCAGAAATAAATATGTTTGATTATATTGTTGGTAATATGGATCGTTCACCAAATAAAAATAATTTTGTAGTTGGTGGAACTCATTTGGAACCATCTACTGATAAAAAGTTTATGCTGCATCCCAATCATCCTACATTTATTTACCTTGATCATGGAATGGCATTTTATCGTAGACATCCACGGCGAAATCCACTAACAAAGTCCATTGAGGCTTTTAAAAAAGGTTTACCAGATACATTTTGTTTTTTTCGCGGTCCTCTACTGCGACGTATTCGTGATTTAATGGAACCCTCAGGTCGAAAAAAGGGTGAGACGATTTTTGCGTTTAGGATGAAGCAACGGCTGCCTAATCGTGTGTATAGTATTATTGGATCAAGTGGGTTGCGATTCTGCTCCATGCGTGGAAAGGAGCTCCTGGGAGTTGCCGAACGTTGTCTGGCAAATGATCGAATACAACGCTATGTATTGTTTCCTTGATCATTTATTATTATTATTATTATTATTATTATTATTATTATTATTATT